ATATATATATATATATATATATATATATATAATCATTAAATAGGAAAACAGACCTATTATCAGCATGGGATGAGTGGACTTGGTGGAGGTGATTAATAGGATTTTCTTTCCAGGGTTCTACATTTTTTTGTGAAACAAGTAATAGCTCCTCATCTATTGAGAAAAGCAACTGCACTGTTCTGCAAACAAACTGGTGAATAATGACACGAAATGCAAAAATGAGTCCATCAGTGATACCATGTTGTTTCTTTAAAGGTTTTTGTTTTTTTACCTGGTGTTCATGAGGCTCTGCAGGAGTTTGGAGGATCTGAGCTCGTCCACCTCTCCGATCACTCTGACGCTCACCTCTCCATCCCGACCCAGCAGCCACCTCACATGTTTGTTGAAAGCTGGAGGGAAATAAAAATGTAAGCTCTTGTCTCTCAGCAACATTGTGATGAAAGCTATGGTTGCATGAACTGTTATTCTGTATTTTATCCAGAAGGTGGTGCCGTCCTACAAGTATAGAGTTTGGGGAAACCTCAGAATACAGCAATGGACTTTCTTTCTCTGTTAAACTGTCACAGATTTATTCTTGTATCTCTTTTTATGTGTTTTTCTATTGAAGGACATTCACTGTATATCACTGCAAACAGGCACAGTAGAATATTGATACACAGTGTTTCAATAATGTGGGATTACAAAAGAAAAGAAAGACGTTAAAAGCAGTGACCTCATTCCTGTTATGCCGGCAGAGCTACATGAAACTGACCTGGGGCAGTTTGACAGAAACTCCCTCTGAAGTGTGGAAAAAGCCAACATGTTGTTTGCTTATATTTGTCATTGCATATACTGAATTTAGACTAATTCACTCAATTGTGAATAATTAGAATTCATTGTAAATTATGTAATAATATAATCTTTAGCTCATAATATACAGAAATCAACTCCAAACATGTATTCCATTACCTAAAAAAAGTATTTTTAGTTCTGACCTCATCATGATGACACAGCTGGCAAAAATAACCCCCACTCCCCAATGCTGAGTGATAACAGGTGTTTTCCATGACACCTGATAATAGTAAAACACCTGCAGTGACATCATCGTCTTAGGGGTGTGGCTTGAAAATGAAAATGCTCAGAAAGCTGTTCAGCAGCGCTTCTTCTGACGATTGGAAGTGAAATTGGTGGAATATAGCGAAGTACATTTACTTCAAGTACTGGGCTATTTAAGGCAAAAAAAGCAGGTTACTGGAGTGCTTCCAATTTGTTCTACTTGTACTACACTAAATGTCAGAAGGAAATATTGTACCTTTCACTACAATTATCAAACAGCTTTAATTACTTTGCCTCCAGTCCAGTAAAAACCACACATCCCCAGATGTCTTAACTTTGAATGTTTGTGATAAACTGAAGGATGAAATGCATCGTCACAGAGCTGAGGGAGAGGAACTCCCTCTGGAGGGAACACAGAGATTTAAGCATTTGCCTAAATGCACATGACTACATTTACTTGATAATGTAAGTACATTTTGCCGATAATACTTTAACTTGTGTTTTGGTTAACTTGTAGTAGGGTTATTTTTCACAGTGTGTCAGTACAAGATCTGAGTACTTGTCCATAGAGACAATCAGCTCCTAACAGTGAACTGATCAGTCAGATTTATTATAGAAACCAGCTCACAAAGGCAGCTCTGTTTCTCTTCATATTTGAGGGAATGACTTTGCGCACTGTCGAACAGCACATAAGGGTACATTGTGTATATGTCTCAGTCGCTAAAGATATCTCTGATATGGTGCAAAATGCGAGAGCGTGTAAAACCTGATGTGAGCACTTGCAGAAAAAAAATCTGAGCTTGTGTGCATACATTTACACTTGTATAAAATATCCACGTAACTGTGAACAAAATGTACACTTGTATAAAATATCCACGTAACTGTGAACCAAATTTGAAGTCACAGAAGATGAAGTTTTGTAGCTTGTAAAAAAAAGATTCACTTAGTGATGAAATGTTCACTTCATTTATTTTCCATTACAACTGCAACTTGGTTATTACAACCTCTCAAATCAGTCATTACAACTTCACGAATCTGCTCTGTGGCAGTATAAATCGACTAATCTGCGGCCTTGACCTTTGATACACTTCTTGCGATGAATGTGTCACTAAAGTAATTTTCACCTGTAGATGTGGGGGGAGGGAGGGGGGTTGGAGCGAAGGGGCGGAGCTATCAGAACGACGAGGCGCAAGCTCGGGTCAGTCACACACAAGTGACTACTGTTGCCCCTTTCACACCAACGCAGCTCCCGTTCTAGCTCCGTGCTTCGCTCACAACAACAACAATGGGGGACTGCGTCGGGTCGATGATCGTGTTACTTTTAATCATACGAAGCCAGATTAAATTAAATAACTACTTCTCCAACCTTATACTTTTAAAATATATATATATTTTTCTGCAAGTGAACATTTCATCACTAAGTTCATTTTTTTCTACAAGTTACAATACTTTTTTTCTTCTTCTGTGACTTCAAATTTGGTTCACAGATACGTGGATATTTTATACAAGTGTAAATGTATGCACACAAGCTCAGATTTCTTTTCAGGTTTTACACGCTCTCACATTTTGCACCATATCTACCTTCATATCTGACATGCAGTAAGTCATAGTGTGTCTGTGAAACACACCTTTGATTTCACACCGCACCCATAAATAACCAGAAATGCAGCAAGTAATATTTAATTGGGCATTTATATGACATTCAAATGCCTGCATGTACACTCAATGACTGTCCCAACAACTCCGCAGTGAACAAACAATGAAACACACCTAACTGGATTTCATGTTGTGTTACGGGAACACGCAACAAACACACACTCGGCTGGCTCTCAGATGACATGGCACAGATTGGGTAAACAAAGACGGTAACTTAATATGCGATTTAAGCGTGGCGACGCCCCAAACCACAGAGTTTACTCAATCTTATTCAGCTTTAGACTGGAGGTGATAGAGGCAGACACACACACTCACACAGTGTTACACACACACAACCATTGTCCAGCAGATCCAGTGCAGGTGATATAGGGTCTCAGTGAGTCAGAAGATAGTGGAGGAAAGGTGATTGAGCATGGGTCGCTGACAGAGTATTGAAAGGACTGTGTTACATTGTGTGTATTTTAAACACATTAATCAGATTGGTAATGAGGAGAGGGTGTTACTACACAGCTTGTGTATCAAGTGCACTCAGCTGACAAGATTTCAGCTCATTAATTAGTTGTGAAAAGGCTTGAATAAACAATTGTAGTACATCTCAAACATGTTCTGCCTGTAGTATACTATAATAAATGTGTTTGTGCGCCCAGAAATATTGCCAGTGATAAAGTGCATGAATATAGGTGAAAGTAGAATAGTAAGGTATTATATTAGACTAAATACTCTTCATAAATACTTTTCATAAATACTTTTTTAATGTGTGTAATAATTATATGAGTACTAAACTAAATTCTGAGCGCATTATTGTACGTTTTGACAACCGCATTCATGCATTCAGAAGAGAATTTTGAGTAGCAAAAAAAAAAAACATTCTTGAAATGTTGTCTAAAATAATCACATTTGAAGATCTGTTATCAAAAAACGATTGAATTAAAGAAAGCTATAGCCCTATCAAAAAAGACAAAAAGAATAATCCAATAGTTCAACATTTAGGAAATAAATTCAAGTCAATATCACTCTAATATATGTCCAACAAATACAGCTTTAAAAGCAACCGGCTGCTTGGTTAGCGACTGGAAACAGGGAACATGTTAGCTAGCTTTGTCTGAGAGACTCCAGGGAATCATTTGTTTTCACTTCAATTTGTGTACTGCCTAAATAAATAAGATAAAACATGTGTATTCATGAGATTTAAAAGTGCTGGTAGGTTGATTTCATAACCCTCAATATGAGCTGAGCAGCTAGTTGTTAACTGTCTCCATGCTAAAGCTAAGCTAAACTACAGCGGGGTGAAACCCTATATTTCATGGACAGATATAACGGTTGTTTTAATCACCAAAATGATAAACTATAGAAATTCAGCAATAACAAATATTTGTATGTATTGGAAAATGTTCAGATCCAAATCTCAACAAATCTCAAGAGTGCAAAGAAGCCTATCTCCAAACATTTGCTTTTAAGATTAGCTATTTGTGTTCATATTTGCATGTTGGAGAATGGTCTGATTCAAGTAAAGATGATTATAAATGTAGTCTACTGCAGTTTTAATCTTTTCGATTCATAATTGTGAATTGAGTTGAGACACACTGGTGCTTTCCGGTGAGGAAATGACAATGTAAGCTGGCTGTTTCTACTTCATGTCAGAGTTATGTTACTGATAGTCAACATAAAGGCCACATTTCCCAGAAACCTTGCTACTTCCTGAAACTGTAGTCAGTGTTTTCCTGTTTTTACTGCTGATAATACTCAAACTGCAGTGTAGTGTGTTCCCTATGTGCCGGGACTCCCCTTATATAAAATAGATTAATTGTTGCACTCTTACCTTTCTTTGGCCTCTTGTTGTCTCTTCCTTCCTTCTCCTCCTTCTCGTCTCGCTCCGTCCAGCGGCGTACCTGCTCTTCTCTCATCTTCAAGAAGAGGATCCTCTTCTGCTCCTCGCTGAGGGCCTCCAGCACCCCGGGCTCCACCCACATGTCCTCAAGGATTTTGGCCAGCATGATGCCTCTTCTCCCGGGTGTCAGAGACGGCTGTCAGCCCCTCTGTCTCTCTGAACAGTGGGTCGTGTTTCAGCGGTGGGGTCTGATCGCTCCTTTTTCCTGTTCCAGAGTCGGGTTCCCTTTTCTTTGAAGGATGTGGGATCAGGTGCGGTCTAACTGCTGGAGGTCACTGTAGTGTGCTTTGTCAGGTTCTCTTCCTCTGTGCTGTAGGAGTGTGTGTCGGCCTCTCTGGAGGTGAAGGTTCAGTGTGTCGACGGAGCTCTGAAGAGAGAGAAAGAAAGATTATATCTGCCGTATTGTTTAGTTCCCCTCCATTCAATCCTGCTCTGGCTGGCACAACACAACAGTCCCGAGGCAAATAAGCCACAACTTCAAACTGTGTGTGTGCGTGTGTGTTGGTGCATGTGTGTGTGTGTTGGTGCGTGTGTGTGCATGCAGTGTTTACCCTGCATACAGTAGGCAGCGAGAATGCCGCTGTGGTTTCAAACACTCAAATGCAAATAGGGGGCAGGTCCAGTATGTCAACACGCACACACATATATCCACACACACATAAAATACAGGGCGTAAATGACAGCATGCTATCTGGGGGTAACACACACAGATAGAGCTAAAAAAAGCGACAGTATCTTTTTTCTCCTCTCAATTCAAATTCAATTCAGCTTGCTCTATTGGCGTGACATTTGACATGGAGGCCTAGAACAATACCAATTATGTAAAAATAGTCATGTGATACTCGTTAATCAAGTTAAATAGATAAGGAAATAAGCAAATGAAATGAAGTAATCAGTTGGTATGTTGGTATTAATAAAATTTCAATGTGACTTACCTTTAAATATGAAAGAAAAACCAAATAAAAAGGCTACTTTTAATTGAATGATTATAACAAAAAATATGTAAGTAAGGGTCAACATGTCTTTCTCACAAACACACACACAAAACTACAACAGTTTTTAGCACCTTATCAACACGTGTCCCCGATCGACAGCCTGTCCAGTTAAGTATCTTATTCCCAAAGCTCTCAAAAATAAAATCCCAGAGAACAACCTCCACCTCCAACTGTGTGTACACACAGAATAAGAGCAGCCTCCACCCTGAACAGACTTTTGAAAGATGTGGAACTGTGAGTGTCTGAGGGAGAGCCAATAGGATTTGTGTTTGTGATAAGAGTTCACCAATCTGCACATAAGGGGCAGACCTATATGACGGTAAATCAGTAGAGGCTGGCAAAAGTGACGTATCGCCCTTAAAGATAGTGTTTCAGGTGTGGCAGCTATTAATCATAGAACTATACTAAACCACTACACCTAATAATTGGTTGTGAGTCTAACCGAGCCAGAAAGCAAATATATCTACCTCTGAAAGCAAGACAGGACTGAATGCAAATATTGTGAAAAACAAACAAACATTGGTTTTAAATTCTATGTCTACAAAAAATATGACTTTAATAGAAGTAAAGAACATGGAGGGAGCAGCTTGCTTTGAATATATATATAAGAATACCAACAACTAATTATTTTTGGCAATCAAAAAAGTAGCAGCTCAAAAACCTAATACATCTAAAACTTTATCCAAACCTTAGCTAAACTCGCTGTTATTTGTATGTACATGACAGTTTAACCGCGTAATTATTCCTAAATCAACTCTAAACAGCATATTTCAAGTCTCTTTTCAAGGCTTCTCTGAGTGATCCATGTTATGGTCATTGTCTGCAGGGTGTGTTTTCATTCTTTCCCAATGTAAGAGTTTCAGACTGTGATTAAGAGCAATGCAAATACACTGGAACTGACTTGAAGGTTTACAGCCCACTCAGTGGCATATTAATCAATATTTCTCGGAAACAATCACAGCTCCTATAATTAACTATACATTTGCACAAGGGTATGGCATCCCAACGTGAACAAATTAGACATGAGCATCCTAAAAGACATCACACAGAAAAAATATTCTGCTATACAAATGTAAAGGTCTGGCTCAGTGCCTGATGTGCAAATAGCTCTTGGATTTCATCCTCCCTCTGACCACACGCTAAGAAAAGAAAGAAAGAAAAGCAGAGAGAGAGGAGAGTATGTGCACAGCATACTGAGAGAAAAGCTTGAAAAGTCTCTCAGTGTGAGAAAACAGTGGCCGTTTCACAGCGACAGAGGAGAGACAAATGAACTTAGACGGCCCGTAGAATGGCAATCACAACAAAGACAGACAAAGAAAAGAGAGACACTTAACAGAGGAGGGAAGGTGGACTCACTCAGTGGCTGCCAGCCGGTCGCATCTCCAGGCACTGCTCTGAGTTTCAGCTCCTCTCCGAGTGTGCTATGATGTGTGAGTGACGTGTGCCTTTGTGTGTGTGTGTGTGTGTGTGTGTGTGTGTGTGTGTGTGTGTGTGTGTGTGTGTGTGTGTGTGTGTGTGTGTGTGTGTGTTTGTTTGTGTGGGATCAGAGCAGTCGTCAGCAGCAGCAATGGTATGCAGGCTCGACTCTGTTGTGCTGCATTTCTACTGAATAGCAGTGGGACGGCCTGACATCACAGCTTTTTTATCTCCTCCCTCATTCCTTTACTTTCTCAGTCTTATCTCACTTACAATTCAAACAAGTTTCAAGTTGGTTTAATTATATCAAGTTAAATGTTTCACCTTCTTTATCTGTTGCTATAAATAACTTCATGTTGATCATTTTCTCCCTTGTGAGTCTGTTTAGCTGCGTTTAAGGATACAAGGAATTTAATTTCCCCTGACAGGCTCTGTAACCTTTAGTAGTAGCGTAGGATTTTCTGACTTTATAAAACTGACAGTCTCTGTATAGCTGCTGTGTTTACCCTCCCCCTTCTTTCTTTTACTTCCTCCAGGACGTCCTGCCACCGTATCAAACCGTTAATCACAACACCACATGTGCAGGAAGGAATCTGGATATTTATTCCACTGTATTTTTCCGTCAACAGGTTGTTGACACTTATCATGGCTGCAAGAGCTCATCGTTTTGTGGTTGGCTCAGATGATTCCAGATAACTGGCCTAAATGTCAGTCATATGCTTCTGAGGAATTATAGCTATTAGCTAATAACCATACAGTCATCCATGCCGATGACTAACCTGTCTCAGATTGTTACTGACCTGTCAGGGCAGTCCAGGTGTGACACACTGACAGTGTTTACAGGAAATAAAACCTTGTTGTAAATACAATTGGCACATTTTTCACTTACATTGTGTTTTCACTTGGTTAAGTGGCCAAGGGTTAGTTAGGTAACAGGAAAATATAAATAACAAAAAGAAACCATTACAAGAAGAACAAAGGGTGTTTTACAAGGATCAGTAACTTAAAAACAGTTCCATGTTGGTTTCTTGGACAGAACTTTGAATTATGACACAGATTATCGTAGAATACGTTTTAAAATTGAGAGAAAAACGCTGTAGGCCTACGCTTGACTGTGCTGTATGCGGGTAGTCATACATTTAACATTTTAATTTATTTTCAGCCGAACTTTAGAGCACTCACTAAACACTCTTCAGGTCACACTTTTAAACTTTTTTTTTTCCCATTTATAATAAGTATCACGTTTTGTCCTATATTATTTGGTAATTATGGAACAGTAAAATATAACGTCACCAATTTATGTAGTTAGCAAACAGAATCAGTAAGTTAGCATTAAGCTATCTAACATTAGCTAACTAACATCGAGCTAATAGTAGCTAACATTAGTATCATGATGTTTATTGTAATCCTTTTTAAACTACAATTTCACAGAGTAGGAAACATTATGATGAAAAAAATGTTGTGTAACCGCTTTTTAAAATTGTAGACATGATCAGATTAGGCATTATATGATAGGTCAGTCATAAAAAGTAATAAAGAGTGAGTATGAATATATCCACTTTTCTCAAAAACACAACTTCTGTTCTGACTATGATAACCAACGAATGCACGCTGTCAAAAAGTATTTAAAAAAAACAAAAACATAATCCAAACCGACTTGTGGTTTATTTCAGTTGGAGTGAAGACAGTCATCAGTTCAGTGAGATGCACCCTAAACTGCCACTGCACTTTGCGTTACGCAAAATGAAACCAAAGCTGTCATCAGTCAATACAGCTGGGTTTCCACCAAAAGAAGTTTTTCATTGATACCAGACACTCAGTTTGTCTGTGGTATCAGGGTAGAGAGCTCAAGGTCTGCAAACACATGAATACACATAGTCTTGTTCTGCTGTTTTGTCAGGACCATTATGTAGACAATTACCACTCCTTTAGTCTTTGAATTTAACTTTTAACCCCAAATCTTAACCTTAATTAAGCAACCACCTCACTTGACCTCATTCCAACCATGTATTCTAACTACAATATATAGATTTCTCTCAAAAATCACAAGTAAGTTGGTCAAAGTAGAAACATTTAAGTTGATTTAAATGCTTACTCTTACATTCATGTTGTTCTGATAATGTAGTTCTTAACATGATAAAAGGATGAGCATGAATACATATGCAAACACATAATGTGTTTTCCTCTTAGGTAATGTTCATATAATGGGAAAATGTGTGTGTGTTTGTGTATTCATTTATATGTTGTGTGCACATAATGGCACTTATCAGACTTAAAGCCACACCTTTTGTATTCTAAGTGCTATTAACAATCATTACCAGGACATATTTTCCCATCTAACCCTGTCTGTCACGGTCTTACGGTAAGACTCTTACCTTTATCTACCCTTTGCATGGCACACCTTGGGAAATTCCCAGCAGTAATCAAGGCATTGTCTCTGATTCTGATTCCGAGTCCACGTGGAGGGGATTAGACATGTGGTCAAACGGTAATTATGCATGCAGAGCCCCCTCTGCAGGAGGAATGGGACATTGCAAGTCAATAGGGATCCCAGTGGCGTAGACAGGAATGGAGTGAATATTTAACAACTATTTGGAACCCATGAAAGGCAAGTGAGATTTATTCTGATCAAAAAAGTTGTTACAGTGTTTTCATAACTTAATTTATGCCTTTTACCTTTTTTAATGTGAAAACAAGGGGAAAAAATCCCTTGCTAAAAACCTTTTTTTGACCAAATGTGACTATATTTTTTATGTGTGTAACACGGTATGAAAAAGGTATGTAGATCAGACTTAGAAAATGGATAAAAAATGTTTTTCCACGCTTCCGTGAGATGTTTGTAGTCATAGTTCAAAAATAAAGAAGCAACTTGATTTATTTATGATTCTATTTATGAATCTTGAACTACCTATGACTCGTAAAATATAGGATAGGTAAGAATAGTCACCTAATTTAAAATTAATGTATTCTTACTATATATATTTGCCGCTAATGTTATTATTATTATTAATTACATTTGTATGTTATTGTATATTTTAAACATTTTCAACTTGCGTAATGCTTGACACTGCTACTATCTACAGTACAGTATCTACCTATCTATCTATATATCTATCTATCTACCTACCTAACTATCTATCTATCTATCTATCTATCCATCCATCCATCCATCCATCTATCTACCTACCTATCTATCTATCTATCTATCTATCTATCTATCTATCTATCTATCTATCTATCTATATTACATAATTGCCTTAGCAGGATCATCTAGCTCTGTTCTTCACTGTCTTTTGGGGTAATTTGACCAACACAGTTAAAAACATCGTCCATGACCTCCAACCTCTAATATTGAGTATGCATCAAAAGACAGAAACTAAGCAGAATCTAATACCTCTGTTTTCTGCTGAGACAAAATCTGCATAATCTATTTCATCTATCTATCAGTGTCTCCATGCTGTTTCTAATCTACTGTCTAAATACCAAACAAAGATGAGAATGAAATGAAGTCCCAAGTCAGTTCTCTCTTTTAACTACGATATTGAACTTCCTATAAGGCCGTTGGAGGCATACTTCAACAATATGGTGAGGCAACATTTCCAATTCAAACTATTTGTATTCCAACATGTTTTCCCTTCAACCGCTCCATGTTTAATGCATGGCCTGACATGGAGCCTGCTCCGTAAAGAGGATGTGCATTAGCATGGCTTCAAATGAGAGAAGCTTTTGGTTAAACCGACCGCAAAGTATTGCTTTAGTCCCCAAAGTAATTTAACTGGCAGTACAAGCGTGCACCCTTGGGTGTTTGATATAATATGCCACCATGATACATATTGTATCATAATTTGCATAATGAGCTGAGTTAACATCATTACACCATCGGCACATATATAGCCATATAAGCACCAACTGTACATATTCATGTCATTTTACTGTAATTATTGTTTGTATCAAGTGGAAATTAATTTCTGTATTGCGTGTGAGTATCATCAGGGAAGTTATTTCAGTAAAAATCACTTTTCCACTGGGGCAAGGAAAAGGGTCATGTATCAGAGAGAGACACATTTGACTGTTCAGTATGTTATATACTTCTCTTGAATAAATCTAGCACAGAGAGTTTGAATAGGTTTTTTAAGTATGTTAAAGGAACCCCAACATTGTGAGCACAGGGTGAATCAACATATTGATTTAAATATCATTTTGTTGATTTCAAAATGATCCTCTAGGTTGTATTAGGTTTGCTTTGAAGTACCAACCTTTTAAACTGCTGTGATAGCGGTGTAAAATGATCGCAGCTCTGAATATTTTTTAACGGTCCAAGTCTGTTCACATTTTATTTTCCATTAACCAGTCATCAAACAATGCCAGAGTCCACACCATGTTCCCAGGAATCCAATGTTTTGTGCTCTCCATGATATAATAATTCGGATTTAAAAAGTACTCCATGAGGTTTTCTGGTGCCGAAAGCTTCAGTGCTTTCTTCGAGGGGCACAGCTGACTTTAAATTGAACAGCTTTCTGACCGTTTTGACAGAATTAGATCCAAAGATGAGAGCATCATCAGTGATCTGCTGGCGTCCTTAGCAGCAATCCCATACGCAGTCTGCTATCGGAATTCACAGACTGAAAGATTCCAAATGGACCAATCAGAATCAAGTAACCAACTCAGTTTTGTATTAAGTAAATTAATAAAAAAGAAGACAGACAGTTAGCATCTTTCTTTCTCTTGCGCTGTTAACTTCTTATTGTTCTCTTTTTTTCTTTTCTTTATTGTGGACAGTTTAACCATCATGAATCCAAACTTTCATGCTCTCCACAAAAATGAATATTGAAAAAGTATTCTATGGTGTTTTCTGTTGAATAAAAATATTGTTTGTCTTCTACAGCTGCAGATTGATATGACTGCAAATAGTCCATTGATCGTTCTTAGCAAAGGTCTGGTTAGCGATAATTAACAGACCTCTGCAATGTCCAAATGGACCAATCATAATCGAGTATTTAACCAAGACTTTAATAACGCCTTGTGCTTTTTAGTCTTGTTTCAGATATTTTAATACTATCTTTCAAATGGCATATGTTATAGCTCATCAGAGGGAAACAAGTGTCCGACTCCCCCTCGTGTATCAAAATGTCCTGAAACT